CAGACAGACGATAGATAGATAGATAGATAGATAGATAGATAGATAGATAGATAGATAGATAGATATTTCATGTTTTTATTTAGTTTTTCTGATGTTATGATCATTTCAAATGTTAAATACATTATAAAAATGATTACACACAAAAATGTCATTGCATATTGGCACAGAAAGAAACAACATAGCCTACAAATAGCAAATACACCATAATATTGTTGTTTCTAGTCAATAGTGTTCTTTTCTTTTGTTTATATTCTTTGTTTTTCTCAGATACGTTGACAAACTCATATTTTGCTTCTAAATGAAAATCTCAACACCTTAATATCTACAAAATGGGACATTGTTAAGTGTAAACGGCGGATTATTTGTTGTTTAAAGAGAAAAAAATCGCTTATTGTCTTGTAATGTATATTTAGCATGTAACTTGCAGATTTTTGGGATGCCGTTTCAACAATGTTCACGGTGATTAATGACGTGCTGAAAATCGTGGAATACCATCACTCGCCCCCCGCGATGCCCCCCTGCGTCTCTTCCCATACATGGGCGTAGGACCGAATGCCTCGCGGGGGTCTCTCCTCTCCGCGCCCTTCCATTCATGGCCACTCCGCTCTCAATGGCGCTAGGGCTACCAAATAAGGAGAGGGAAGTCCAGCGGGCGCCGGTCCACTCTTGGAGTATAAATTGGCTGCGGCTCAAGGCGCTGTCTACCATTCACTCTCTAAGGGAACCAGCTCCTGGTGCAGATCTGGTAAGCACAGCTAAAGCTTTTGAAATGTCAGACTTCGTTTAATGGGATGATCTTCTGAACGCTAGGATTTAAACTAGGTCAGTTCTGGTGCAATATCACTGGAATTCTAATGCAAATAATTGTCTCTTGAGCTAAACAAACAGGCTTCAGAGGCTTAGAGTTGTCAGTAATGAATACTTTGCTGACTTTGAGTTACAGAAAAAGTTTAGGTTTAGGTTTAGAGTTTTTGCAGTGATGGCATAGAAGAACCATTTTCGGTTTCTCAAAGAACCTTTTACTTAACAGTTCTTAAGTGTGAAGAACTTTTGAATAATCTGAATAACTTTTTTTCCACTATAAAGAACCTTTTGTTCAATGGAGGTTCATGGAATCATACACTCTTGGTTACCCAAAGAAACTTACAGTGAAAAGTTATTTTTCTTAGTGTGAAGAACATTTTATAATCTGGGGTAGTATTTTACTACTTCAAACTTTTTATATAAGTTTGTTGCCAAGGAACCAGGACACACTTTTTTTTCTTTTTTTTTTTTTTTAAGTTTTTCCACCTAATATTTATATTTAACAGCTTTGTTTTAATTAAATTAACTAACCAATAATGATTTTTCATACTTTCTAGCTTTTTTGTGCTTTTGTGCTTTTCATTATTTTTGAATTTAAAAGTCTATTTAACATTATTTTTATTTAAGAGTTATTTTAGTATTTTAGTACTTTAAACTTTTTATATAAGTTAGTTGCCAAGGAACCACTTTTTTTTTTTTTTTTTAGTTTTTCACCTAATATTTATATATATTTAACAGCTTTATTTTAATTTAATTAAAAACAAAGTGAAAAAAACGTTTTTTAAGTTTTAGTAATAATAACAATAGCTTTATTTTAACTAACCAATAATTATTTTTCATACTTTCTAGCTTTTGTAATTTTGTTAGGCTTTTGTGATTTACATTATTTTTTATTTAAAAGTCTATTTAAATGTATTTTTATTTAAGAGTTAGTTTTAGTAATTTTAGTTCTCACTTTAACTTATTTTCAGTTATTTACCAAGGCAACATTTCTATTTTTTTATTTGTATCTAATATTTATATTATATTTTATTTCAGCTTTAATTAAATGAACAAAAAACTAAGGGTTCAAGTTTTAGTTTTAGTTAACAATAACACCAATGTTTTCTTCTTACCTAAGGTATGGAGTCTGCTGGTATCCATGAGACCACCTACAACAGTATCATGAAGTGCGACATTGACATCCGTAAGGACTTGTATGCCAACAACGTCCTGTCTGGTGGCACCACCATGTACCCAGGTATTGCTGATCGTATGCAGAAGGAGATCACTGCTTTGGCCCCCAGCACCATGAAGATCAAGGTAAAACATTTATTCAGTAATTCAGATTTCCTCTCGTCTTATAAATTTAATTAAATTTAGTAAGATGTTTGATTTGTAACCATCCCATATCTTCTTTCTCATAGATCATCGCTCCCCCTGAGCGTAAGTACTCCGTCTGGATCGGTGGCTCCATCCTGGCTTCCCTGTCCACCTTCCAGCAAATGTGGATCAGCAAGCAGGAATATGATGAGGCTGGCCCATCCATCGTCCACAGGAAGTGCTTCTAGGTGCCAGGATACCCATATTACATTGCTGATTATGGATGCAAAGAACAGAAATTCTCAACATTACCTCCACCTGTTACGCATGCAGGCCAGATTATACCTTTATTTTTCCTTGTACAGTATGTTTACACCAAAGTGCAATTTGTTTGTAGTTATTTACTGGATCATAAATAAATTTGTATGTGGATATTTATTGGTTTTTAAATAAACAAGACCAGGAAATTTGTGAAGAAATCTTTTTTTGTTTGTTTCTCCAGAAGTGGACATTAAGCGTTTTGCTGAATGGGAGGACAAGTGAAAGTTTGCGCATTGTGTTCATAGCCATCTGTTTGTCTTGTAGTACATTAAATAATAACTATATATATCGAATTTGATCTTTTAATTGAACTTAATGTATCTTAATGTTTTTCTACAGGAGGAAAATGCTTAACGAGATACTTTGCAGATTGCGTTCATATTCTGCTGTTCTGTGGCGACGGATTTGCGGGTCTTGTCTTTTTCTTGCAGGACCCTGTATGTTATAGTACTAAGTGATGTTTTATTAACAAGTTTCGGGAGGAGCGCACACAGATAATTAACACGGCCAGTTCATCATCAGTAATTACACCATCTATCCAATCAGCTCAAGAGAGAACCTCTATAAATAATCAAAGCAGCCTTACCTCCATTATCTCCCGTCCTTAGCATCCCTCCACCACCCCGACTCCTCACCTTCAGCCCGTTCCTACCCCAGCACGGGAAGGAACACTCGGGGGGAGCATTCTGGGTCCGGGCTTAATCCCGAGCTCGGACCCCTCTCCCCGGCCAGGGGGAGGACCCCGGGCTCGAGAGTAATTACCGAGCTCGGAGCCCTCTCCCCGGACAGCACGCCAAATACGCATAAACTTTACTCGGTTCATTATAAGTAAGTGTGAACTCGTGAAATTAGAAACGTTTAATCGTTTAATCACCACAGCGTCTTGTCTCCATTGGCAACACGCACGATTTGTGTTGATTGCAAGTGACGCGCAGGTATCAGAGAGTGCAAGTGGCGATTGGAAGTGACTTCGTAATTTAGTTTCTTTTTTCTTGTCTTCTCCACCTGGCTACTGTTGTAAAATGTTGAGCGATTCAAACAAAAAGTAATCAATAAACAGAACAAAATAAAAAAATAAAAGACTGCAAGTGACGTCGCTAGCGGAAGCGCAAGTGTCTGAGAGTGCAAGTCTGAGAATGCAAGTCTGACCCCTTGGTGACCATACGTGCCATTTTCCCAGGATGCGTCCTGGCCAGGATTTCTATATTGCCTAAAATATCTAGGTTTTGGCTTTGTTTGCGTGTGCAGACCGATCGGTGTATGACATCAAAATACCTTGAGAGCATTTTGTAAGCATAAGGAACCATCTGTATGGTATTTTGATATCATACACCGATCGGTCTGCACACGCAAACAAAGCCAAAACCTAGATATTTTAGGCAATATAGAAATCCTGGCCAGGACGCATCCTGGGAAAATGGCACGTATGGTCACCCTACAAGTGCAAAGACTGCAAGTGTGGGTATTTGGACAAAGCCTGAGAGTGCAAGTGCAAGGCTGCAGCTAGACCCTCTTGCCTTAGTCATGTTAGACGCCATATTGAATTTACCACGAAAGAAAACGAGGCTATGAGGGATAGACATACAGTCCTTACAACAATGCACTGTGGTGCTATCACATAATTTTCCCCAACTCACAGTTTTCAAAACAGTTTTATGGAGTTTTTGTCTACTGAGTTTTTTTTTTTTTTTTGGTTTGTTTGTTTGTTTTTTGCGTCAGCTGAACAATCGGTAACAGTAGGTATCCATAACAGTATTTATTAAAAACAGAGAAAACGTTGCAAACGTGTCCCATACCTTGTATCTTGTATCCTTATCTTATCGAAAAATATATTGCCATAATAGCTCCTTGTCACAAAACATTAATTAAACATGACTTAAAAGTCATTACTTCAATAAAACCTTAAATGAATACAAGTAGCAGCAAGCGGCTAATTTGGAGACAAAATCCCCAAACCGACAACACTGAATTCGCCACGTAAAGCGGCGTGCGTAATATTGTTGCTATGGTATGGAGGACGAAACCTGCAAAAACAATAAATACACAAATAAATAAATAAATATGCAAATAAATAAATAAATGTCTGTATAAATACACAAATTCTTGTTTAAATACATATAGAAATAATTAAACGTGATTAAAGTAGGCAAATACATCAAATAAATTGGTGAACAAATGGAAAATGTTTAACGAAATGCTAAACTCATCCTAACTATTTTCCTTTGATCACTCATTTATTTCTGAATGTAGTTCCACATTTATTTTCTCCTCTGCACAACATGCTAATGAGAGGGTGTCAACCATGGACTTGGTCTCATAGCTGGGGGCCCGGCTTTCCCGCTAACAGGAAATGCATGGTGTTAATCCAGTATGGCCTACGTAAAGTCACTTTTTCCGTTTAACAGAGCAAGATACATTAAAAAACTGAGCTGTATTGTCCGTACAGTATCTGTGACTTTACAAAAGATCCAAAGAAATGGCCAGTGTATTTATTTATTTATTGTTGTTGCAGGTTTCGGCCTCCATACTATGGTGACCTGGTTCATTCAACAAACTCTACTTCTGTTCGCCAGCGTTTTGGCGGCAGTTGAAAAAGCGCGCTCTGGCTAAATTAGTAAAACGTTGGACCTTTTGGCTTTCTTTGCCGGTGTTCAAGCCTTAATTAGCCTACCCCCCATGATCCGCGCCCTGTTTATTCGACAAACACTAACTCTAGACTCTAATCTCCTATTCTGTCACGCTAGTGAGTGAGTGTGTGAGTGTGTCGCCGGTCTCCGGAGGTCTCCCAGTGAATTGAGTTTATCACCAATGATTTTTATTACGGATTAATCAGGGCATCTCTGGCATATTCGGAGAATAATGAAACGGAGACATCCTGCTGTTCTGATTTCTCTCCAACAACCTGTCTGCGCGTGACGCAAGGGGAGGAGGGGGGGCAGTCTACTTAAAGCGGGATTAGCACGAGCCAAACATTATACTCCCCTCCGTTCAGGCTTCAGAGCGACCTATCGTCCTGCTCGCGAGACAGAAAATAGGAGGGCTTTAGACTAATCAGGACCTCAGAGGAGTGCGCCCTCCCGAGCGAGGCGTGGAAGACAAGGTGGACAGCAGCGACTAATCAATGCACTCGCCTGATACTACACTCGCCTTCGGAGCGGAACAGTAGCTCGCGTTTGATTTCACTCGCTCCACTGTGTTATATCGTCTCCGAATGAACAGCCATGGGGGAATGGACAATTCTCGAGCGTCTCCTGGAGGCGGCTGTCCAACAGCACTCTACTATGATCGGGAGGTGAGGAAAAAAGTAGAAAATGTTTATTGATTGCTTTGCACATTAAAATAAAAAAATATTGAGGTCATTACGCAGTGACCCTTCTAAATGAGGGCGATTGGCTATTGGAGCTTAATGTGCGCGTTGTAAAGGACGGGAAGAATTAAGATTACTGTTGCTGTTGTTATAGTTATTACTGCACATTTTAGCCAACAAAGCTGCTGTGCCATCGGAAACATATTGCTGTTTCATGTCAGATCTGATTTGCTTTCAGAGAAATGTTGTGCGCTTGTGCGTTTGCCTATGGAGAGAGTTTCAGCACTGGACAGCTCCCCTCGACAATCTGCACAGTCTATACTCTAGAGAATAGAAAACCATACAGTTCAAACCTGTTAGCTGTAAATAATCATATCATATACAATAAAGGTTAGATTTAACAGACATTGCGTGCAATTTTACTGTAAAAACTAAAAAGTGGCGTTTTTGAAAGTAAATTACCTTAAAAATAACGGTAGAATATTTGGCACAACAATAAATGTACAGTAAATGTACAGTCGCAGTACATAAATGAAAAGTCACTTTATAATTTACGGTGGAAATCCGTACAAAGGCGTTCAAATGTATAAATCCACGCGTGGCACATCACATTTCAATAAAATACTGCTGTTTCTTTTTCTTTTTTTTCCTAATCAGTCATGTACATTCATAGTGCATTTTATGTTATTTAGTTAATGTATATAACATTAATCCAGCGCCATGTCTGTTGCTACCTTAATATTGTTTTGTGTGATGTATCTAAATGAACAACACTGTACTGTATGCTGAGCGCATTTATGTACTGTGGATGCACTTGCTATTTTTTTCACATTTGATGAAACTGTATTCATCATGTGGTCTTGTGTTTAACAATATGTATAAGTATATGCAGAGCAGAGCTTAGTACGTTGTAGTTATTGGGATATTAATATTGTCAGATAACAGTATCAGTAGATAGTATCAGTCCTATCTGGAATACTGTTCATATTGGAATATTAAAATTAAATCAGTTAATATATGGTTATGGTTTTTACAGTGAATTTCTAAAAATCACAGCAGAATTTTAATTTCATTTTCTTATACTTCTTTTCTTGTTTTAACATGATATATATATGTATTTATTTATTTATAGTGGTGCAGAATTTGCACCCTTAAAATTAAGTGTTGTCAATGTATTTTTACAGTTTCTAGAGTTTTCTAGAATTTCTAGCAACCACAAATGCCCATTTTTTATTTGTATTTATTTTTTAAATTAATCTATTTATTTATTTAGTTATTTATTGCAATTTTTATGTGTTTTATATTCCTTTGTTTGTTTTGACTTAACTGCTTGAGAATACCGTAGCAGATACACTATGAACTAAAATATTTGTGTCCTTATGTTTAGGATCCTACTGACAGTGGTGGTGATCTTCCGGATTCTAATCGTTGCAATAGTAGGAGAGACCGTGTACGACGACGAGCAGTCCATGTTCGTGTGTAACACTTTACAGCCAGGCTGTAACCAAGCTTGCTATGACAAAGCGTTCCCTATATCTCACATCAGATACTGGGTGTTCCAGATCATCATGGTTTGCACACCCAGTCTGTGCTTCATCACATATTCGGTGCATCAGTCGGCCAAACAGAAGGAGCGGAGATACTCCATGGTCTACCTGTCCCTTGACAAAGATCCCGATTCAATGAAACGAGACGACAGCAAAAAGATCAAAAACACCATCGTGAACGGAGTACTTCAGAACACAGAAAACTCCACCAAAGAATCTGAGCCTGACTGTTTGGAAGTGAAAGAGATCCCCAGTTCAGCCAGGAGAACTACCAAATCTAAAATGAGAAGACAAGAGGGCATCTCAAGGTTTTACATCATTCAGGTGGTTTTCAGGAACGCGCTGGAGATCGGTTTCTTGGTGGGGCAGTATTTCTTGTACGGATTCAACGTTCCTGCCGTGTACGAGTGCGATCGCTACCCTTGCATCAAAGACGTTGAATGCTACGTTTCGAGACCCACTGAGAAAACCGTGTTCCTCGTCTTCATGTTTGCGGTCAGTGGGATTTGCGTGGTGCTCAACCTTGCAGAACTCAATCACCTGGGCTGGAGGAAAATTAAAACGGCGGTGAGGGGGGTTCAGGCCAGGAGGAAGTCCATATACGAGATCAGAAACAAGGACTTACCGCGGATGAGCATGCCGAATTTCGGCCGCACCCAGTCGAGTGACTCAGCCTATGTCTAATGTTCCTTCATGTGGTTCATCAAAGCAGAGGTGCTCAATCCTGGTCCAGGAAGACCTCAGGTTGCACATTTTAGATGAATCACCCATTTTAAGTCTTGGAGCCTCTATTCTAAATGAATAGTTCACTCAAAAATGACAATTCTGCCATCATTTACTCAACCTGTGTCGAGTCATTCCAAATGTCGTTCCAAATCTGTATGACTTTCTTCTGTTGACCACAAAAGAAGATATTTTGAAGAACGTTTTGGTCCATGCAATGAAAGTCAATGGGGTCCAAGACAACACTGAACCCCATTGACCATACTGAGATTTATTTATATATATACAGTGGGTACGGAAAGTATTCAGACCCCCTTAAATTTTTCACTCTTTGTTATATTGCAGTCATTTGCTAAAATCATTTAAGTTATTTTTTTTCCTCATTAATGTACACACAGCACCCCATATTGACAGAAAAACACAGAATTGTTGACATTTTTGCAGATTTATTAAAAAAGAAAAACTGAAATATCACATGGTCCTAAGTATTCAGACCCTTTGCTCAGTATTTAGTAGAAGCACCCTTTTGATCGAATACAGC